CATTCAATGAAGAATTCATCCCTTTCATCATATTACATCATCCTCTAAATCAGAGTCTAAAACTACTTTTCAGCTGTTCTACCATTTGGAAGATGTCAGGAAATTCGTGGGTTTACTCATGTTTCCTGCTACTGGCCATTTTTACTTAGAAAGGTTTGCAGAGCACACAACTGAAACAAACCAAATAAAAAAATTCATCCTAAGAATATATACCAAGTTTTTCCATGGTAAGTCCTAGGTCAATGATGGTGAACCTTTTAGAGGTTTTATTGATAACAAACAGCCATCTGCAGCACATGTGCCACAGGTTTGCCACCACTGTCTCGTAGTCTAAAGCTAAAAAGACAACCCAGTAATTTATTTAACCCTACCACTTCCATATGCTCTGTCACAAATGAAGATGAGACTACGAATAGACACTTTTTTTGGAACCAGGAATTGAACTCAGGATCTCGTATTTGCCAGGCAGGCACCATGCTGCTGAGCTACATCCTGGCAAGACTAGGAATAAAGGCCCATCTTGTGCTCTAGTCTGAAGAAGAAAATCAAGTAGGGCAGGGATCCAATAGTGTGTTTTGTTCTTAGGTACTAATATTCAGTCAAATGAAAGTCAGAAACACAAGCAAGTCATCCAAGTGAAAAAAATGAGACCTTCAAGACAGCAGACTATTCCTCTGAAAAGGCAAATCTCAACTATTAACTAATACCTTTCAAGTCTGTGCTACAATTCAGTAAGTTCTTCACCACAACAAAAAAGTCACCAACCACAACCAAGAGAATGAACTTCACTAATAAGTTCACTTTATACTTGCAATTCTGAAGCCAGTCTTAAATCCACTACATTAAGAGCCACAATTTAACAGTCACTCCTACAACTCATTCTCTTAGGATCATTGACCTAAAAAAGAAATCCACTGTAGCCAAAGTAGACAAACCATTACTGATACAGGAAAATAAAACTCCCAACCTGAATGATATCTAGGACGAGTTCATGTTCTCTAAAATCGAAGAATGAATTTTAGGAACAATGGAGGTTAGGAGCAGAATATACTTATTGAGGGAAAGAAAGCTTCTGTCCAAGAGAGGGACAGAAGGGGGCCGAGTGGGTTGCCAAGAACCTTGCCCTTCCCAGGGACTTTATAGGGCAAAACCCTGAGGTGAGGCGGTGCAAGATAGGGGGAAAATGGGAAATTACAAGGTGGGCATGAGGTGGGACAAAACCATGGTCAGCCAGTAAGATTACAAGTATAATTGTTCAGGTAAAATTGAGTAAACAGGGATCAAAAGGGGAAGCGAGTCATGTAGCAAGTGGGCATGAATACAGAACAGGGGCTTCTCCAGTAGGGGGTTGGGCTAGTGACTCTTTCTAGCTTTTTGAAGATGGTTGTTACCTAGAGGTATGTGGATGCATTTGTTTAGTCCTTTGTCTTGAGGTCTGGCCAACAGGTATCTTATCTTATCTTTCATGTTGGCTCCTTCTAGGGCCTGGTCCTGTTGACTGCCTATAATATTTCTATCTAACTCACCTGCCTATAACATTATGAAGAGTATGAAAAGATTAGCACTTGTTTATAATCCAGCACAGGGAATAAGATATATATATTCTACACTGGGCATGTGGGCACATGCCTGTAATCCCAGCACTCAGTAGGCTGAGACAGGGAGACCACTGCAAGTTTGAGAACAGCCTAGGCTACACAGTGAATCCAAGGTTAGCCTGAACTATATAGTGAGACTTTGTTTCAAAAAAAATTAAGACATATATTCCTCAAACAGTGACTTTCAGGACTGAAAAGGACTGCTGGAAACTCTGCAACATTTTATGAGAAACTTCAAATATATGCCAGAGTTAGTCAGGCGTGGTGGCACACACCTGTAATCCCAGCACTTGGGAGGCTGAGGCAGGACGATCATTACAAGTTCGAGGCCAGCCTGGGTTACAAAGTGAGCTCAAGGCCAGCCTGAACTGCATAGTGAGACCCTGTCTCAAAAAAAAGACAAAAAAAAGATACTCCAGAGTTGAAACAACTTTACAGGAAACATCCTAATACCACTGAGAGTCTACCACTTTTTACTGTATTTATCATAAACCCATCCACCGTCCAAATCACCTTACTTTTTCAGTGAACTGCTGGGGTCTTTGTTCATTTTGTAAGAGACAGGATGTCACTATGTTGCCAACGCTGGACTTGAATTCCTGGCCACAAGTAATCCTCCCGCCTCAGCCCACACAGTAGGTGGAATGGCTCTACTCATGCTTCTGTGCTTGGCTACTGCTGGAATTTCTTTAATGATACTTGTGTAGAGTATGAAAAAACACAGCATGGCTTCTCCAAAATCTGACTGATGAGGTGTATGAACAAAAAAGTATGGAAACCACAAATCCATACTCAGCGTTGATCTCCCTTGCTAACCTCCAATCAAAATCTATTGAACGCTCATAAATGGCCATCTTAGATCTCCACAGCCCTGTCCACCATCTGTACTATGCTTAGCTCTCTTGGTGCCTCAGCATCAATCTGTGAAGCCTCTCTCAATTTTCACCCACTCAACTAGAATTAACAATGTACCCTAAAGGGGCCACACTCTTTATCATTTGCAATCACCACATAGCATCTTCTCTATATTGTCTCTTTTACTAAACCCTGACCTCAAGGGCAGGAATCCCCTTTGTCTCTAAATACTCAGCAACCAGCACAGAACTTAGCCTGCAATGAGCACTCAGTAAAGGAATATCAATGGAAGTGTCTTTACCCAGGGGCCAAGGAAGAGTTTAGTCCAGTATAAAGATGATCTAATCACAGTGGCACTTTGGAAAAATTCATCTGAGAGCACTGTTGTTAAAGAGTATGAGCTTTCGGAGCCAGGTGCGGTGGTGCACGCCTGTAATCCCAGCACTCGGGAGGCTGAGGCAGGAGGATAGTTGCGAGTTCAAGGCCAGCCTGGGCTACAAAGTGAGCTCAAGGCCAGCCTGAACTGCATAGCAAGACCCTGCCTCAAAAAAAAAAAAAAAAAAAAAAGAGTATGAGCTTTGGAGTCAGACTGCATGGGCAGGGATCCCAGAATCCCAACTCTGTTGCTTACTGCTGGGTGACTTTGGGCAAATTTCTAAACCTCCAGGGCCTGAATTTCTTCACTGGGAAACAGGCATCATATTACTTCGCAGGGGATTGTGAGGATCTGAGACAGTAATTTAAAAACAACAAAAAAGACACACACACAGCCCTGGGGGTGTGGTTTGGGTAGAGCACTTGCCTAGCAAGCTCCAGGCCCTAGGTTTGGTCCTCGGCACCACCAATCCGCACATACACACGGGGTACGTGTTCCATCAACAAGGTTAATAAGGTTAAAAAGTCCGTAAAGCCCAGGTGGTAGCAGTGAAAACAAAGTGGAAAGAATGGCCGTGAAGGAAGAATCTACTTTAAAATGTTCCGTCAGGAGAGCAAGCAAGTGGGCTTCTGTTGTATTTTGTCTCATGTTTAAGTTAGCTCACGACTAGATTTCTTTCTGTAGAGCTGGAAATCAAATCCAAGGTTTTCTTGCACGGGAAACACACCCTCTTACTAGTGAGCTACATCACCCGCCCATGAGTAGATTTTTAAGTTAGAGCAGTTACAATCTATCCAGCCTAAGCACACATTTGATGCTGGGCACTAGCAGTCTAGCACACTTGGACTCCAGCCACAAGCTCTGTAACTACTGCAAGCTCTCTCTGTAGGTTTTTCAGTCTCTCAGCTGAGGCTTCATTTCTCATTACTCCATAAGGCACTATTCCTTTAGTTTGTGATCCCAGTCCTCTATCCTGTGAGGACATCCCCAAGAACCTCGGTTGGGGAATGGGTCTGTAGTTTCATCCTACTCAACCCTGTACCACTTTTTCTTTTCTTCTGCTTGCCCACTTCCTTCTCAAGCCTTACTATTCCCTACACGTAGGAACTTGAAACCTAAGAGTATGGGAAAGCAACAGAGCAGTAACAGTGGTGCCAAGAACTGGGGATACTGCCAAGCTGTTCCCCAGGCCCCATATGCAGTGACCCAACTACATGCCGATTGGATTTAATTGCCCGTGGGGCCTCACACACTTGATATTCCTTTCTGCTTCTGTTCATTTTCTTCCTCCCTCTTAAAGCAACCTTCTCTAAACCCAACCTCTTCAAAGTCCAACCCATCCTCGAAGACCCAGGTAGGGCCCAACTTCTCCAGAAAGGTCTCCCCTGACCATTGTGGTCCACAGACATCCCCTCCACACACATACACACACAAACAGTACTATAAACAGGTACTTCTGTACCATAAAGCATAGTCGTTGTACACATTTGTATGATTAAAGAAATGTTCCATGTGCATGTATTTGAATTTCCAAGGGGAGCAACAATGTTTTACATCTTTCAAACTCCTTAACTCAGTGGATTAATCCTTGTTGAAAAGTGAGTAAATCAGAGGGTGTTTATTCATTTTAGCCTAGGGCAGCAGAAAGAAGTATGTTGATATGCAAAAGGCTGAAAGAACACATGAGTAAAAGAGCAGCACGTTAAAATGAGAAAAAAAATAGAAGGTATTCATTTAACATGTTTAACAGATTTGCTGTGAGGTTTGAAAAAGAGAGAGATGTCAACTGGAAAAAGGAGGGAAAAGGTGTATCAGCTCGAGAGAATACATCAGGAGAAAGGTGAGGCTACAAAAGAAATTGTCTAAATTATGCTGAAACCTAGAGGTAAGTCAAATAGATAGGTGAAGGTAAAGGGAGCTTTGGGGATGACATGGATAGAGAGATGTAGTCATGTAAGTGAGTGAGTTAGAAGGAGGGGTATGAACGGGGAGGTGGGTAGGTAGATAAAATGGTTGAAGGTAATTAGCCAGATAGGTCAGCTGGTTGAGTAGATGAGCAAATAGGAGGCAGATAAATGAGCGGTTTTTAGACAAGTGGGGAGATGGTTAGGTGTTTAGTTGGTAGGTAATAGGTGTGGGGCATGTAATTTAAGATCCAGCCCCTCCCTCACCTTGACCCGGAAGCGGATGAGTGCTAGCCTCACGCAGTGGCTCAGGCAAGCTGGTGGCAGGAACCAGGCCCGTGGTGGAGGGGTGCCCTTGTTGCCCACGTGTCCCACGATCAGTTGCGCTGTCTGCCGCTCGGCCTGGCACCGACGGCCCCACTCGGCCAGTCGGTCTTTGCCCAGGCCGCCGGGGAACATGACCACCAGCTCCAGGCCTTCGCCGCCGGGATAGGCACAAGCCTGGCACAGCGCTGACAAGTAGCCCAGCATGGCATTCCACTGGCCACCACACACCCAGTCCGTCTGATAGCCACCATAAAGCCGCGGCAGCGCCGAGCCCGCGTCTACCAGCACCCGGGCCCCGGGCAGCGGAGGGGGCGGCGGCGGCGGCAGCGGAGGGTGTAGCCCAGGCTGCGACTGGCCATGGTGGTGGAAGTGGTGAGCGGGGTGATGGTGCCGCGTCGGCCCCGCGCCCCCGGAGTAGGCACCCAAGGCAGCGGGCGGGAACGGCGGCTGCAGAGGAGCGGAGCCCCTGGCGGCGCGTGGGGCCCCGGGCGCTAGAAGTGCAGTCGGTGGGAGCTGGCGATGCAGGTGCTGCTGCTGCTGCTGCTGGCGCGAGACTGTGCGCGCGAGTTTTAGGAGGTCCACGGGTACCACGGCACCAGGACAGCGCTTCTCCAAGAACTCTTGGAAGCCCTGGACGCCCATGCTTCTTCAGCGGGCAGACGAGAGCGACTGCGCGAGCAGGTTAGGTGGCGATCCCGGCGCGAAGCTGGGGGCGGACGCGTGCGCACTCCGCAGGGGGCGAGGGGGGCGGGAAAAGGATTCCCGAGGGGAGGGGTGCAGGAGCCGGGGAACGAGGGTGGGGAGGGGAGATCACAGATTGGGTATGGGTGGAGAGGTGGGAAGAGGCAGACCGGACTCAGGAGAGGTTGGGAGGATAAAAGCGATATCGGGCTCTAATCGCTTCTTGTCTTCTCTCCTGCGGCTCTTCTTCACCGCTTCAAAGAGGGTGAAGCCTCTTCCTTCCACCTCCAGGAGCCATGTTGCCTCTTCTCTATAATACACGATTTCTAGCTGGGAGCAGGAGCAGGAATGGGGCGGGGCGCATGGGCATCCTGGGAGTTGTAGTCTTCCACCTTATGGCCTCAGGATACAATCAGGGACATGAGACTACTATGCCTCTTGGGCTTTGCAGCTCACGGGGTTCATAAGAGGCGAGGCGTGAAAAATCTGTGTTTAAGATTTCCGCTGTAGCTTTTTGCATGGCATCGACTTGCTTCAAGCTATTTACTGCCATTCCCAGGAAAAAGAGTTTTGGGGGAAGGAATGATGCATCATGGGAAAGGAAATAGTGGCTTGCTCGAATTTGATCAGCCAAAGTGAGCTGAAATTACACGGGAGGAAGAATTTTACCTTTATTGGAAAAAAGAATACAGCTAGCTTTTTATTTAGGGTTATGGGAATGGGGGTTGATACACCGTCTCGTTTTGTAGTTCAGGTTGGTCTTGAATTCACTATGTAACTCAGACTGGCCTCGAACTCTGAGATCTTCAGCCTCCCCGCCCATCTAGCCAATGTAACTGAAGAGTTCTTTACACCCATTAGAAAGTTGAAACTTACACAAAGGAAGTTTATATCCCTGTCAATACTACCGGTTGTTACTTACTTCATTTCTTTTGTTTGGGTTTTCACCAAGAAGCACAATAACTTGATGTAGAAGATCTATGCTCAACACTAACCAATTTACCAAATCAAGATTAAGATAATCACAAAATTTTAAAATGACGATAAAATGAACCAAGGCACTTGTGACCAAAGGCTCAAAAGAAGTGGGCACAGATGCTGACCACTAAAACTTTGCCTCGGTGAGTGAAAGTGTTATATTCCTAGAAGTGAAGTCAAGTGTGCCATGACAAAATTCTGAAAAGATTTCATTTGAAAGTTGTGAGCCGGCCATGGTAGTGCAGGTGTAATCACTGCACTTTGGGAGGCCAAGGCAGGAGGATTGCAAACTCAAGCCCACCCTGGAAAACTTAGCAAGAACCTGTCTCAAAATTAAAAATAAAAAAGGGCTAGGGATATAGCTCAGTGCAAAAGCTGTGAGTTCAGTGCCCAGTATAGGGGAAGGAATCTACAATTACTGGGGGTATTGTATATTCCTGGGCATTCCTGATTTGGAGCATAACTGGTAGTCTCACATCAGAGATTTTACTGATTAGAAAACTGGGACTTCTGAGGTTACCTGTATATGCCTCCTAAATACTCCTCAATGGGATGATGTCTTCTGTAGATTCATTCAACTGGAATGTATGGTAGAAGAGTTGCATGGAACAGTGTTAAATTCAGCACATTATTTCCTGTTGGAACTCCGATTCATGACCTTGAACATAAAGCCCCGGAGAATGAGCCAAGTCCTTAGGTAGAGTGTTAATAAATTAGAAACTACAACAAGAGGACCCAAGCTATTTCCATCAGCAAATCTGAAGTCAAAGAGCCTAATTTGAGCTAGGGATAGCTCAGTGGTATAGTACTTGCCTAGCAAGTATAAGGCCTTGGGTTTGATCCTCAGCACAAAACACACACACATATACAAAGAAGCCAAGCCACAAATGGTGGTGTAACTGACAGAGCAAAATGGAACTTTACTTTTTAATTTATTATTATTGTTTTGTTTCTTGAGACAGGGTCTCACTATGTAGGCCAGGCTGGCCTGAAATGCCTGGTGATCCTCTTGCTTCAGCCTCCAGAGTGCTGGGATTACAGGAATGTGCCACCACTTCTGGTCTGGCCATAAAATGGAACTTTAAAAGTTAGAATTTTTTCCACTAGAGACAAGCCCCAGACCAAACTTTCTCAGGCCAAGTGCTTCACTGCCACCCCATCCTCTCTTCAGTACATGTAAGTGGGCAGAGTATGAAGATGCTGAGTCTGATTCCCTTTCCATAGAGAAGGTAGAGAGCAGAATAGGGCTGGAAGGATAAATGTGGAGTTAAGTCTGGTACAGTGGCAAATACCTATAATTTCAGGACCCTGAGAGACTGAGGCAGAAGGATTGAAAGTTCACAGCCTGGGTAATTTAGGAATTTAGGGAAATCCTATATCAAAATGGAAAAGGCTGGGTTCAATTCTCAAACCACCACCACCAAAAAAAAAGTGGAATTGTCTATTTTGTCGTAGTGTACCTTCTCCCCTCTCTTCCTTACTATAAAAGCGCCTTACACACCTGGAGACAGTGAGATGGTGACTTGTAGCAACATGAGGTCCCTCCATCTCCTTAGGGGATAGCTTCTTTTTTTTTTTTTTTTTGGCGCTAGCTTTAAATAAGGATTTTTCACCATGCCCCCTGTGGGTTTTTTTGTTTTGTTTTGTTTTGTTTTTTTGTCTTTTTGAGTCTCGCTATGCCGTTCAGGCTGGGCTTGAGCTCACTTTGTAGCCCAGGCTGGTCTCGAACTCGCAACGATCCTCCTGCCTCAGCCTCCCAAGTGCTGGCATTACAGGCGTGCGCCACCAGTCGCCCCCTGTGTTTGTGTGAATCTGCAAGCAAATGGATTTGCTGACAGTGATAACAGTGATAACAGTGCTGCATGCCTATGGTCCCAGAACTCGAAGGCTGAAGCAGGATAGCCAGTTCAAGGCCAGCCTGTACTACATAGTGAGACCCTATCTCAAATAAATAAATAAACAAGCAAAATCCAGGATAAGTCTAACAACAAAATTCTTGTTGCTTGTTATTAACATTCTAAGATAACCCCCAGTGAAACAAATAGTCAAGATTTTAAAGAAATTATTGTCACTGAAAATCAAATCTAGTGAATAGGTACCATAATTGATCAACCAGAATAGTGATTCTCATGTTCCTGAACCACACAGCAGGCCCACCTGTGAACTGTTACAAATGTAACAATCACCTAGTAAGGAAGGCTGTATTGAGTCAGCAGCTAGCTTCCCATCATTCAGCTATAAATAGAACACCACCCTAATGGTTATCCATGTTTAAATTTAGGAGGTTGCAATGGCCCAGTGAGAGAGGGAATGGGAGGCATCTGGAGTCAGAGGTGTCTGACTCTTTAAATACTGGAAGCTTGAGTTATGGGAGGTTCCTCTCCCTCCTCTTTCCCTTTGCCCTTCTCCCATTCCTGCTGCTACCATCCTGTGAACTTCAATAAACATAGCTACTTACTACGAGGCGTACACTTGGCAATACTTTCCGTGTCCCACAGAGGAACCTGGACTATATTGGGCCCACTCAACTGTAACAACCCCAGACCTCCAGGATCAGAAACATTGTGAGGGGAGCCTGGAATATGTGGTTTAAGTAATGTCAAAGATAAAGCCAGATTTAAGATAGAGCAGTGAAAACAGATTTTATTCAACTACTGACAATAGGGGGAAACTGAGCTTTATTCTGATTTGAACAGAGGTGACTGGGTATTTTAAGGAAAGAATGAGGGGAAGGAAGAAGAGGAGAAAATGGGAGCTCAGTAATGTCGGTAAAGTGTAAAATTCAGAGGACTGGTCAGTGTAAATGAGATTAGGTCAGCTGTGTATGAAGGCAGGGGAATTACTAAAGTTAGATTTCTATCTTCCTTTCAGAGACTGGGAGACAGAGGCCTACCTTATCCTTGGTGATTACATTTCTAAGGATTGCTTTGAAGCTCCTTGGGAAAGACACTCCCCAGTTGTAGGAGAGATACACACACCTCAAAGGGACAGAGGGAGCGTCCGCAGTTCTAAGCTCATTTGCTAAAATGCCTTAAGAAAGGGAGGCCTAGGGCCAATCATCAGCTGTGAGCTGGTACAAACTGTAAACTCCCCCTAGAGTGGGCTAGGTCTTGCCAGTGATTTGGCCTTAGGTGGGTAGAAGCCATGCTAGTTTGGTCAAGTCTCCTACAGTAGGGGTTTGTTGGAAGGAGCATACGTAGTTAGGGTTTTTGCAGGTCTCGTTGGCCCTCCATATGATTATAATACACCCCCACATTTAAGAACCACTATACTTGTAGGGTATACCCAAGGTCCAAAGTACAGACTTGTTAAGAAAATGCATTAATAAATTGACTATCACAAGTTTTCTTTGTCTTTCTCTTCCCTCCCTTCCCTTCCCCTTTCCTTTCTTCTTTTCCCCTTTACTGAGAGCGTCTCTCTGTGTAGTCCAGGCTGACCTTTAGCTAGCTATGCAACTCATGGTCTTCCTGCCTCAGCCTCCCCAGTGCTGGAACTACAGGTGTGCACTACCACACTTGGATTTGCATGAGTTTTGTTGTTTTGGTTTGGGTTTTTGTTTTATTGTTTTTCTGTGGTACTGAGGATTGAACCCAGGCTCTTTGCTTTGAATTACATCCCCAGCCCTTTTCTTTTTTTTTTTTTTTTTTTTTTGAGACAAGGTCTTGCTATGTTGAATAGGCTGAGCTCAAATTTACGATCCTCCTGCCTCAGCCTCTCAGAGTGCCAGGATCGTAAGTGTGGTCCATTACATCTGACACCCATGAATTATTTTATGTCCATAATTTCCTTTTTTTTTAAATTGAGGTGGAAAGGGTGTGACCTCTTCTGGACCTGGTGACTGACTGAAAATGTGATCTCTCCTGAAGGAAAATTTTGATGGTGGTTAGTTATTAGTTTACTACTACATATTAGATCTATTGATGGCCACTTATCAGAGGTTTATCAGAGGTTTCAAGATCAAGAGGGGCCACATTTAGATTGTTACTGAACTTAA